ATAGAATTCGATGCTCAGAACGCAGGAAATGGCATTTCCGGGGTTCAAATTTCAAAAATTTTCCGGGGGGGAATGCCCCCGGACCCCCCTAATTATTGACGGTTTTGGAGTGCGCCACGGTCACGGTTTAGGCTGGATCCGCGCCTGGGTTGTTATCACCTTGTTACAAGGTTGATGACGATAACAGACTTGCTACAAGTTGTTCCAACAAGACGAATACAGGCTGTTACAAGTTGCTATACGAGCTTGTTGTCATCAACTTGTTAACAACTTGTTGCGTGCAGACGATATCAGCTTGGTGGAACAACTTGTTGCGAGTCTGTTGGGCTCATCAACCTTGTTACAAGATGAGAACAACTGGGAAGAAGCGGTGCGAACGCATCTTGTTGGCAAGCTGTCAGATTTTTACGTATGTAGAACTGGGTTGCGGTGGGTAGGAATAAACGGGGTAGCAAAAAAACCAGTAAGATTGGGAAGCCTCGCGGTGCCTCGGAAGGTCGTCTCCAATTGGATGGGGTTTTCTAAAGAACGAAGCAATTCATTGTTATAAACACAAAAGCAATTGTCAAATTGAGCCAATGAAAATCACTCTTCCGAGCTACTGCGAGGCTACCCGTAAGATTGAGTGACATACCAGTACTTCACAATCACCACGATCATCAATATCCTCATCCTTATTTTTCCCACAAAACATTGCGTGACATAAAGTCGGGAATGTCTTCCACTGTTTGAGCCCACAGACATTTGAGCCAGTCAGGTGGTCACACTCCAGGCAACTGTCCGGTTTGCGGGTTGATGATTCCGCTCCTGCGGGCTGATCGAGGTTGTTCTCAGGCTCGACGCTCTCCAAACCCATAGACTTGTAGTTTGTATAGTGGTGACCCGCTTCAGGGCAGCGCACATGTGTGCAAATAAGCTCACCTGAAAGTTTAAATTTATGTTAATTAACAATTATTCGCCGAAGGCGAGGTGATTATCGGTGAATAAAAACCGAGACGAAGTCGAGGTTTTTATTCACGATAATCACCGAGCCTGAGGTGAATAATTGTTTCAGTATAATTTCATAGGTGATTATTTGTAAAAGATGTAAAAAAATACATACTTCTTCGTCATTTAATTGACAAAACGGCTTAGGCCGCCATTTTGAAAATCGTTTAGGTGATTAATAATAATCACCTCACGGCAACCAATCAGCGTGGCGCGTAGTGGAAAGAGCCTGGGTACGAGGTTGGGTTTTTTTTTTGTTTTTTTTTTATAATATTTAAGCAGGGAGCCCATATCTCCAAGGAGTTTTTCAATGGGGCCCTTCGGTTATACGAAACAGCTGTGGATTTAGAGAAATATAATAAGCAGAACTTCGGTATTATTTCACGTCTTGATACAACGGCTGCATGCATTTCAAGCCACAACAAGTGCAACTTCAAACTGGGTTCAGCAGAACTCTTCCCAAACATAAAACCCATGTCTTCAACTTCCAAGACTGTATTCAATTGATTACGATTGATAATATACGACGAATTATGTTTACTACCATGTATTCGAAGGAGTTTGCTTTGGCCGTCGTCGTTGCGTTGCGGTCCTAAAATCGTAAGGTCTCTCATAACTTGCCGACGAAGTGCCTTCGCTCGAAACGTCGAAGTTCGACGTATATATTTTCAGGTAGTTATATCCCTCGCAATCCCCACCGTTCATGTTACACGAGGGAATTTTTGCTGTAACTTGCAACTGTACTGCTGGTAGTGCTTGGACAATATTTGGACCATTGATTTTGAATCAATAGTAAAACCCGCGCCATTATTCAAGAATTTGCAGTTTTAGGTCCTTAAATTTCCTGAAAAACGTTCTTGGATTTCATCGTTACTGAAGGCTATAGTTTCCACTCAGGAAAATTATCCGTGGATTGGAACGGACAAGAACATTTTTCTTTGTGTTAAAGTCATTAGTTCCACCCCAGAGCTCACAAGACAAAGAAAAATTATCTTGTCCGTTCCAATCCACGGATAATTTTCCTGAGTGGAAACTAGCCTTAACGCCTGTATTCGAAGAGTGGAGGTTCAATCTGAGCTTCCCTTGAGTGTCAGTGCTGTTTTTGAATAGCTGGAGAGTTAATACTATGTGACTGCTCACCCTCCAGCTTATTAAAAAACAGCATTGAAGGGAAGCTCAGATTGAATCTCCACTCTTTGAGTGTGAGTGATCTTTTACAATACATGCGTGAAGGGTGGAAACCTTGTTTATACCAACGATCCGTCAGGCGGATTTGCATCTTGACGGATGCATCAGCGTTTCTGATATAAATCGAGCGGGTCTTACCGAAATAACACAAACAATTGTTGCATCCGTCGTTGTGTATTGCAAAATTTTGTACAATTTCTCCGTCTTGCAAGTGACAAGCGTTTGGGTAGCATTTCTTGATGTTTTTCTCACATGATAGTTTCCCCATGTAACAAGAGCACTGCGAGCATTCTGCTGGGTTGAAATATGTTGTCCCACTTGGTATTAGAGCCAATGTTTTCGGGTCCCGACAAGGAAAGTTGGCTGAAACGTTGAATATAGAACCATGAGAAAAAGTGCGGAATTGCAAAAAATGCTGCGGGTATGCAGATACCACCCATGCGAAATGTTTACCGTATCAATGTAACGGGAACTTAGTAGCTTAGTAGCTAGTCATGTTTTTCAGGTAGTTGTGATGTTATATGTAAACAACGAGTTTGAGTGTTTCATCAGGGGATCCAAACACGAGAAAACTGTGTGAAACACCAGCGCGAAGCGCGAGTGTTTTATTGTTTTCGAGTGTTTGGTCCCCTGATGAAACACGAGAAACGAGTTGTTTACATAACATCTCAAACGAGAACATTTCATTGGCTTATATATATTATTATAGTATATTGTTGTGTTTTGACTTGAATTTGTAATTAGGATCTCAGTTATTAGATGAAAACCGTTTTTCATCTAACAACAGTGATGGTATATGATTTTTAGCGTGTTTCCTTGCGGTATCCAACCTCAATCATGTGACGAATTAGGGTGAGTTCATTCGCTAATTTGCTCATGAATTATTAATGATTCGAGATAGTTGAATACCACAGAATAAAGACACACGGAAGGTCGACTGAGCCAAAAAAAAACCGTAACCGCTGCCACGTCATGATTCGTTGTTGATATCAACAGGCGTGAACAAGGTTGTGCGGCCCACTATGAACAGTATTGTCAACATGTTGTTACAGCATTGTTCAACTGTAACAACTTGGAACAACATGGTTGACAACTTGTTCATATATAGTTGGCCGCACAACATTGTTCACGCCTGTCGATATCAACTTGGAACAACCTGTGCGTTTTTAGCCGTGCCATCAAAATGCTGACGCTACGGTCCTAGCCAGCGCGCTTATAAGAGGCATTCCCCTCCCTTGGGCGTCTGTCATTTTGAATATTATCAGGGGGGTGAATGCCTCTCAGCGCACTGGCTAGGACCATGGCGTCAGCATTTCGATGACGAATTACGGTTACGCCAAAATCATTGGAAAAACCAAGAAGTCGGGCTTCCGTATAGTCTCTATTCTGTGCCTCTGTTGTTGACTTGTTGTCTCTACCGGCATACAAGAGTGAAGTTGACCGAACCATTTGTCGCGCATCATAACGTCAAAACAGAAACTAACGGTAACTAAACCTTCAATCATTCGCATTATCTCCTCGCTGAAACCATTTTCGGTTTGAATTGGACTTCGCTTTCTTCTAGTATCCAAAAATCGCCAAGCCTTTTCATTAAACCCTTTTTTCCTGAATGATTTGGAAAATTTTGTGACCATTTCTTGTTGTTGTTGTTGTCTTTTCCATGATTTTGTCAGCTCGTCTAACTCGCGTTTAATCTTCTGAAGTACGCCAAGAAAACTTGTTGAATTTGGTGGTACATATGTCGAATTTCTTTTTTCATTTTTGGCTAGTTTTATATTGGTTTTCACTGATTTGAAAACCCCATCTTGCAAAGTTTCAATCGCAATAGAATTCACAAGGATAACGGAAAAAATATAATAAAATGCGATATTTTTCATGACTTTTCTTCACCACAATTTAAGGCGTTTTCGCCATGTGCATTTTCTGTCAGTTTTTATTGGTTATTTATGACGTAATGACATGATTTGCATACACTGCGGAATGAAGCATGTGGTCCAGTGATATATGGAGCTCAGTGGATCCGCGAACACCTCCAGGAGACTAAGTATGAAGGTGTGGAAGAGGCGCGGTCGAGGCGTGTCGGTAAATTTCCCAAAATATCCCATTCAATCCTATTGTTGTCCATCGGCCAACAGAAAAAGTAAATAATATGTAAAATTCATATAAAAGTTACATTTTATGTTTAAAAATTTGCATTTTTTTCAGGCTTTCAAATTTGAAATATAACCTACCGTGTGTGTGTATAATCCTGCAAAATGTTGCGTGTTGGAAAAGGCCAAAAACTCCGACATTTCTCGAAAGTCCGTCTACAGAAACGGTCAATTACAACAACCCCAAAAGCTTGCGAGAAAGTGATGGCTATCCGTCGAGAAGACATAAACGTTTGGGAAAGAAGGGCTCCTATTTCACCTGCACATGTGAAAGACCTTGTGGATAACGGTATAAGAGTTCTAGTGCAACCTTCAACGCGAAGAGCCTATACAATGGCCGAATACGAAGATGCCGGGGCTGTTATCACAGAGGACCTCTCGCCAGCTTCGCTTATTGTAGGAGTGAAAGCTGTACCGATTAACCAGCTATTGGCTGACAGAACTTATGCATTTTTTTCACATACTATCAAAGCTCAGCCTGGGAATATGCCACTTTTGGATGCAATGCTTGAAAAGGTAAGTAAATACGATATTTACTCAGGTTCAGTCATATTTGCAAATATACACTGTAAAATATTAAAAAATATCACGTGTTAAAATTAGCCGGCTTATATAACAGCTTTTGACAAAAATAAAGTGGAGGTTTTTTACAAAAAAAAAACCCAATTAATCATTGTTATTAATTTGTTTGTTTTGCCTAACAAGATTTTTATGATAAAATTATCGTAAAAACCTTGTTTATTAGGCAAAACAAACAAATTAATGGAAAAGGTATGTTGTTGAATATATTTAATTGGTATTAATTATGTTTATATGGTGATACAATTTTCGTGCATAATTTATGCAACTAGAATCTACTATAAATTTTACTGGTATGAATTTTTGGAGAAAAACTGAAAAACGATCTTTACATTCACATTTCAGAATGCTTGTAAACATTGAACCATCTCATGAAAACTCCGTAGAAATAATAGATAAATATTTATTATTTGTCCATTGGGTCGTTCCAGAAAAGATCCATACTCCCCCCACAGAGGAAATTTCTGCCGTCCGGAGGGGGGGGGGGAGAAAAAATTGTTTCTGATAATAGGAAATGTATTAGGACATCCGAAGAGGGTAGGGGGGTTAACTTCCTATTTCCTCCGTTGGGGTGGTATGGATGTTTTCTGGAAATGACCCATTCATCAACTGGTACAATTACCAGGTGTTTATGGGAAAATTTATAAACATGTAGTGTAGTGTAGTGTTACATTTATCTGGAAAACATGCTCCATATATAAAGTTAGTGGTTTAACCCTTTATGTGGCAATGTGCCCCAGGAGTGGATTTATAGGGGGGAGGGGTGCACACCCCTATTGGCCTTGGTCAACAGGGATGCAATGGGGGTGCAAAAAGTCAAATTTTGAAATATGGTATAATTTCCAAGGTTTTTCCTTTTTTGAAGTCAAACTGGGGCTCATAATTCAATGCCCATATTGCAGGAAATGGCATTTCTAGGGTTCTAATTTTCAGAATTTTTTGGAAGGCATACCCCTAACCTGAGTATCAGGCTCTATTTTACAAATAGAGCCTGACACAAAACTTAACCTGATCGCTTTCCACCCACAGCAAAGTTTATGTTTAGTATCCAATCAAAATGTCGCAGGAGAAATTTAAATTTCACACAACAACAACAACAATCTAATTATAGCGTAGGCAGCCCACTAAACGGCTAAATTTAAATTAAAACTGCAATGAACTTATAAAATTAACAAAAATAATAACAAATTAGCGAAATATATTGCAAATGTAGCTTATAATAAATAGCCACCTGATTGCTCTCTCCTTCGCAGAGGTTTCAGTGACTACAATGAGCTTTACATGGCGCTTACCGTATTTATACCGTATTTATCAACAAACTGACATATAATTATAATAATAATAATGTATATATATATATATATATATATATATATATATATATATATATATATATATATATATATATATATATATATATATATATATATATATATATATTAAGTATATACTTTATAATTATACGTCAGTTAATAGTCGATAGTGCAATCTGATGGCGATTTAATAAGCTACATTTGCAATATATTTCGCTAATTTGGGATTATTTTCTAATTTTACTGCAGTTTTAATTTAAATTCAGCCGTTTAGTGGGCCGGCTATAATTGTAGTTGTGATCGTTATAAAATATATCAACAACAATAGTATAATCTAATTAGCACCAGCCAATCAAATGACAGATTTAAAAAATCATTTGTCTAATCGGCCAATCAGACGAAAAAGCCAGAATCTGGCTCTTTACATGCGCCGCGGTAAAGAATTGTATCAGGCCTTCATTCGCCGCCGCCAATTAATTCTGGCGAATGAAAACATAAGGGCCTGATACTCAGGTTAGCATACCCCTGGACCCCCTAGGGAGGTCGCGCCTTCGGCGCTCGAGTCGTTAGGAAGCCAATTCATTTGAATGCTCTCCCACCACCCCCTAAAGGATTATAAAGAAACACTCGGCTGCTCATCCAACACCCCCCTAGAAAAACCTTGCTGGATTCACCCCTGATGTTCCCTGACCAGCACTCTACTTTATAATTTTACTATACATACTTTACTAATGTTACTGTCAAACACCAGGCGAATTTACTTGTCAAGGGGAGAACTCTATGGGTCAAACCTATAATCATATTTTAGATTTCCTGGACTGTGAGGTAGTAGAGTCCATAGCCAAACTGAATTTGAAGGGTATTATCCCACCGAGTGACAGCACTCTCCCCTTACGTTCTTAACAAGCAAAATTGTCTGGCAACAGAGTAACATATAAATAAAGTAAAAAGGCACATCAGTGTGCATTAATTGCCATTCAAACGGTTAAAATTCCAAATGATCTTTTTTGCAAAGCACTGACTTTGCGTCGATTAATACCGACTTGACACAGATTGATACCTAATATCATGTCAGTGCTGTCTGCATGTGTGCTAATATCATGTCGGTCCGACATACCCCCCCCCCCCCCATATGCACTCGAAACAACTGTTTTTAACCCTCTTTTAGGTCAAAATTTCCGAAAATTCTGCATTTTTCCATGAAGGTGGGGGGGAGGCTGCCTGATTTCCGCCACTGTGTTTGTGAAATAATAATTCTTGAACATCTTTAGAATATAAGATTAGTTGATTATGAAAGAATGCTTGATTCTAAAGGACAGAGAGTTGCTGCATTTGGAAAATTTGCTGGGGTGGCAGGTAAGGAAAAACTCTGAAAAGAAAATGTTGTTGTTTAAAGGCCATGTTACACGGTGTAATTTTTCTGATGTTAATTAGTGAAATCAGTGAAGAATTTTCAATATGTTGAGAAAACATCAGCGGAGTGTAATGAAGACTCAAGCATAGAATTGCATTGCAAGTTGCAAGAAAAATTGCAACGTGTAACATGGCCTTATCCCCAAATATAATTTTTTGGTATGTGTAATATTTGGGTCATTCGAAGAAGAAATGTAATATATCTTTATAATAAAAATCCCATCTTGATCAACTTTTTCACTGTCAAAGTTTGCGGATATGATGTCATTAGGTGAATTGCAAATTAGTTTTCCTTTGTTTTTTGTACCAAAAGTTCACCTAATCACATCGTATCTGGAAACTTTGACAGTGAAAAAGTTGATCAAGATGAGGTTTTTTACCATAAAGATGTATTACATTTCTCCTTAGAATGACCCAAATATTACCCATACCAATAATCATATTTCGGGTTAGTCACACTTTAGGATGAATAACCTCCCTAATGCACCCTACGTTATTATTTAGTATACTCTGTGTAATGCCACACGATTTTATTTGTCAAGGGGAGAGCGCTGGCACTCAATGGTTTGGGTTAAAATGTCAAAGTTTTTCTACATTTTTCAATTTTGTATCTGTAATGATTGAAGTATCTTGCTGTTGAACACTCCTTACTGGAACCCCATATTTGTCAATTTACAAACAGACTGAATTATTTAGTACATCACTCTACCTCTTAAGGAAATCTGAGATTAAAACAATTTAATAATTAGTTGATTCAATTATTTTCCAGGGATGATAAATATCTTACATGGACTTGGTTTGCGACTTCTTGCTCTTGGACATCACACACCCTTCATGGTATGTATAAATAGGCAATTCCAACTATACACTGAATTTTGATATATATATCCAGGAAGAACAAAATCGATCACCACAGCTAGAAAGGGCATGTTAAAATTAGTAAAATTGCAAAGTTCAGTTGCGAAATGTTGTAAAATGCGGAAAATATAACCCTGGATATTTGCAAATTTTGTATTAATTTGTATTACGTGCCGGAAAATACAGCCGGCCCAAATGTGGTGCATTCTCTGTTGCGTAATACAAATTAATACAAAATTTGCAAATTTCGCATGGCTATATTTTTTCCGCATTTTAGAACATTTTATAACCAAACTTTGCAATTTTACTAATTCCATGGATAATAAAATAAATGGATTGGAAACTTCTGACGTCATTGACTGCATCCTTGTTGAAAAACGTGACGTCACGCATATTGCGAATGTTACCAAAGTTCTCGGCATATTTGTTGTTTTGCTATATTTTCCACTTTAAAAGGGTGATCTTGAAGCGTAAACTGGTCTAATTGTTTTAAAAACGTGCCTAAGCCACGACAAAATATTCAAGGTAAATGTTTTTCGTCTTTGTTTTGTATTTTTTTACATTTGTAGCTACGAAATTGGCGTCACAAATTTTAACAAAATTTGCGATGTATTTTTCACTGTTTAGTGCTTGAAATATTTGCTAAAATTGACTGGGAATACTTAGAGTTTTCATCGTAGAATGGCGCGGTTACATTTATTTGCTCTTTGACTAAAATGTTTAGCTGTATTATTGCTAAACATGCCGTTTTTGAGAATTTGGTTTGCAACTAGGTTTCAACGCCATCATCCCATTGAAAACATTAGGTCACGTCAGCTAGTTTCCTATCCATGTATTTTATTATCCATGGTTGAATAATGAAAAGCGGTCATTTGATCTTTCTCAACAGCCGAAATTCAATAGTTTAGAACTGAAAATAGGCATTATAAATAGATAATACTTATGATTTACGTGTGGTTTACAGGTAAAAAACTATTATAGTCTGGCCATTGAAAAAGATCGTGACTTTATTTTTACGACAGTTACGACCATAGGGACACCTGGCTTAAAGCACAGAATACTACACAGAAGTCCATCTCCATTGTTTTTTGCGTAAGCGTTATTCGTCATGATTCGTCACTCAGCAAGTACCGTAAACAGAAGCAGTCACCCCCTGGACGTTCGCCATTTTTAGTATTTCCAGGGGGGTACTGCTTCTGTTTACGGTACTTGCTGAGTGACGAATCATGACGAATAGCGCTTACGCTAAAAACCAGGGCGAAGGGAGAGAGGGCGTAGAAACGGCCATACATCGAGCGGACCAGGGCGTAGTAAAACACGGGCGGTGAAACGCGCTAATATTTGCCTGATCCATGTGTGATGCACGGGAGACTGGCGCGAGCGTGCGAAATGCGCGGATGAAGCGGGATTTTTAAAGATGAAGCGAAGCAAAAACAAGAGACAAAAATATTTAAAGGGCAATCAAAAAGTGCAAATTTTTAAGGTAAATTTATCCTTAAAATGGAAAAAAATTAACTTGTTATGAAATAGAGACTCCGACAATTAATTAGTATTGCAAATTACATCGCTGGAGTTGGAAAAGCATTTTTAAAATGTGAAATTATTTGAAGGCATAGCGATTTTATCATAAAATATATTTACATTTTTCAGGCAATGACAAATTGTAGTCGAGTTTTTTAGCCAGACCGAGTGGAAAAAAAGTTAACTTCAACCCTTTAAATTATCTATAATTAGTTATACTTTCGATCTGAAAAGGTTAGAAAATGGGCTTTTGTGGGCTTTTTTTCAATTTAAAGATTTATGACCAGGTCACTTGCGTAATTTACAATGACACAACTTGTGACCTTGTTTTGATAAAGTTAGAAAACAATTGTCAATTTAGAAAGCATTGGAAACATTTTCATTAACATATTCAGGCATTCAAATGCAATATAAAAGTTAGGGAAAATATTCAATTATAAGGCACAAGCAGAAAATTCCGTTTTTATCATGTTAAAGGTTGTTTTATTTCTCTTTTCGAACTTACAATATGCAACTGAAATGTCCGCCAAAAGACTCCAAATTGCATGTTGACAGCGATGTCGCAGTTTTACAAGCGCGGAAAATTTTTGACCTTTAAATATTTCATGCACAGTATATGGAAA